CACTCATATTCTTGAAACTATTTCAAACGAATCAAGAATAATTCGGGTAGAATTGCCTCTCTTTACAATTTCAGCGCAACTCCGCAAGATTGCTCGCGCGAATAGAGGAGAGCAGTGGGTGTACTTTGAGGCACGATATGCCAATACATGATCCGAAATAAATGTTCACCAACGTTTTTGTAATACGTACTGATCTTGAAGACTGCCAACGTCAATTTAAAGCACATTAGTTTAAAGCATTAGTTTCAGTTACGATACAAAGTTTGTGTTGTGGATTTTTCTAAAACGTGATTTGATATATTTAAAACATTTGAAGACCAAACTTCAAATTGCGATTCTTCATAGAATTGAGCAGAACACCTTTTCACGCGGAGAACATAACACAACGCATGGTAAATGGGGCTACTATGAAGTTGCCGCGCTGTGCCACTCATTGTCACAAACTAGCGCTACTTTCTGTGACAAAACTACCCCTCTTTTATCAACCATTGTCACAAATATAACGTGTAAGTGAAAGGAAATGACGATTTCCAACAAGTGACACTACCATAAGCGCGCCTTCTCACGCCGCCACGGGTGGCGCGCTTCCGTCAAGCAGCAGAGCCCTTCCGACGCCGCCACCGCTGCAGCCACGCCCGCACCGTCGCCCGCCGAGGAAGGGGGCGGGTTCTACAGGGATAGGTTTCGGTCGAACGTCGAACAAAGGGATCGCAGCAGGCAAAACACCGCCACCGGCGGCGCCGTGGGAAGGCTCCCATTTAAAGCTGTGTTCTCCTAGCGGCGGGTCGTACGCCCTCCGTTTCGCGAAGCGAGAGTTCGCCGCCAATTGCCGCAACGGCGCAAACCCGCCGCACGTGGGAAGGTCTCCATTTAAACCAATGCTCTGCTACGAGCCGCGGTGCTCGGAAGCGCGCAGCAGTGGCGGCGTGTGAAGAGGCCGTAAGTGCACATGGTGCAGGGGTTCATGTCTACTAAAACTTTTGAGAGGATCCCCATAGCCTCGTATAATGAAGAATTTTTCATAAACATTTGCAATCTCCGATTTCCCCCTTTGCACTCTGAAAATTTGGAAAATTGTTATACATTTGTGGAAGAGGCTTTTTAGGTCTTCCAATAACCCTATAAAAGGTTACACATATAATAAAATGTTTTTTATAAGTGCACCATTACTTACAATTTCATTCTCTTTGTAGTTGGTTTCCTTGATATGCTTGTAAAATATGTCAAATTTAAATTAAATGTTTAATTTAAAAGGGGGCGGATACATTAAATTGGGATCTGGTCTTTCTTGAGGCTATATCTGCGTCCCTCTCCCGCCCTCTCATTTGACCACCCACAAGTTAAATGAAAGCGTTCGGAATCGGGACGTCTGCGTAGGCCAGGGTAGGGGTCGTTTGATGAAAAGCGACAACGCTGCAAAAACCCTTTGTGTGCTGCCCGAATCCATCTCAATAGCATCAGAATTGGCGGCAGTTGTTTCCTTTAAATTATGCGTTATTATTTGTTAATTGTTAGTACGCATGCTTATGCTGTTTTTTCAGAAATTCGTATCGACACTGACGGAAAGAGTATATAAATACCTGGGATTCCAAGACAGAGGTGATCATTTAGAGAAAATTCAGCGAGCAACCACACTCTCCTGGGCATGTCGAGTCGGCGTTGAAGACTGTCAGAAAACGGCAGTCGATTTACTAACAGCGTATGTCGACGAAGGAAAACGGTCAGTATGCATATTTATAATAGCAATTGAAATCTATGAAGCTATGTGCTATAATTTAGCGTAAATATACAACTGTTGCATATTTGCATGAGCATGCATGAGTCGCAAGGTATACTTGTTTCAGAGTGCCTGCCAATCTGCGCAGCGTCGCCTACTGCTATGCTATTAAAAATGGGCCGAATGATTTATGGTTCAAATTGTGGCAAAAATTTCAAGAGAATGAGGATGCATCGGAACGTTCATTGCTCATCTCAGCCCTTGGCTGTTCTCGTTCTTATAGCACGTTGTACATGTAAGTACATGCATTCGTTAGTAAAAAAATACATTATAATGCGTCGCCTCATTTTTAAAATTATTAATATTTCTTGCTGTAGTTTTTTATTCTTCCTTTGGTATTCTTAAAAATCTCTGTGTGACTCCTTTTCCTAATGTTTTAAAACACGATAATGGAAAGTAGTGACAGATTATGCATATTCTAGCTTCTACTATTATTTACTGAATTCTAGCTACAACATAAATAACAGATATCTCTCAATGTGTATATCATACGATGTACATATTGTAGGTTACACAAATCAATTATTAGCAGTAACTTGCATTTCACAGATAGCTCATCTGCAAAATAAGGTAATATATTTGATTAAATAAATATTTCTATATTACGATTTCGTTATGTTTTAAATTAATTAATATTTTAGAAAATTATATATTTATTTCTTTACAGAGATTTTGAATATTATTTAATATATATTTAAGAATAGTTTAAAACCTGTATGGATCAACATTAGATTCTTCTTTGAATTACCTTAATAAGATACCATATATTCTAAACCACGTCTCGGAAGTGCGTTATGATTTCAAAACATTTTATAATGTTGTGATTCAATAAATTTAACACTAACTTATGCAACTCCGTCAGAAGTTGTCGTCAAAACAAAATTGATCCTAACGCACGATACAGAAGTGGCTGTTTTGTAAATGCAAGAATTGTAATTATTTTTCTTCTTTTAACACCCACTTCTGTCCCAAATATAATAAACCGATAAGAGAAACTCAAAATAAATAACCGAGAAGTGAGTTAGCGAATTAGAACAGTTAGCAGTGAATTTCAATTTGATGTCTTTTGCTTGAAGCAATGCTTAAGAAGCATTTTCTCTGGTAAAATATGCAGAGATAATTTCATTATTGATATTAAGCAGGAGTAAGTGGGTGTTAAAGTGAAAGAGTGGGTAGTAGTAACTCGATACTACTTGGGATAGTATTGAATTAATAGACTTTCATCAAATATTTAACAATTTCAATAAAATAATACTGTAAAATGTTTTAAACTAAAATATGAAATTTTGAATTTAGTCATCATGACACAAAATGTAATCAAAGTACATCTGAATTAAATTGAAAGTACGAAGTAAACAATTTACATATCGAAAACACAGGGGATGATCTTTCTCACTCTCTTAATTCAATTTATATTATGAGGAAGTAGTTGGGTGGATGGAGAATTCTTTTATTTAACTTACAAATTTAATCTGATGTAGAATACTCGACTGAGAATGTAAAATCATTGTAAAATTATAATACTCCAAAACATTATTTCCAAAGATAAGAATTACGAATGATAGATAATTTATGTCAAAGAAGTGGGAAAATCCCATTAACTCATAAATACAATAATGTTAACAAATTTCTGGAAATATGCCTATTAATGGTGCGAGAGATATTTCAAAAACATTTGTTTCATTGTGAAAAAACAAAAAAAAATGCCCCAAAATTAACTTTAATTAAACAGTGCAATTAGGACCATTCCTTCGAAGTTTGAAGTCAAAATTTGAAGCCGTTTTTGAGAAAATGGCGGTTGAGCGTTTCTGAAAATGCGGAATTTTCAGCTACTTTTCACAGAAAACTTGAATTTTCGAGATACTTTATCTGGTATTGTTAGAGCACATGTACTCATAAATTCATTGATGTGAATAAGTCATCGCCAATATAACGTCGTAAGAGACAAGTAAAAAAATTACATTTTGTAATTTTTGAAAAAAGAAAAAATACAGCAAAATGATTTTATGTCATCTCACGAAGTCTATTTAACACTATTACTACGAAAAGCTTAAAGAAAAAATTTAGAGCCGTTTTTGAAAAATACTTGTTTTTGTTATTTTGTAATAGTACACATACTGCTCGCAATATTGCGTGAAAACTACTAAAATTTCCAAAGATGTACCTGACCTTAATGAAAGAACTCACTATGGTAAACTAATTTTATTGAAGGAAAAATATCTATTTTCAATTTTTTAGTTGAAAGAAGCCACCCGAAAAATTTGAATTTTTGAGATTTTCAAAAATTCATAGTTAATTCTGAAAATAGGAATATGCTACCTTTATAAGTATATTTTACCCTATTCTTACAAGAAATTTAATGAAAAAATTTGGAGACGATTTTAAGAAAATATTGAAAATCGGGTTTCATGTCAAGAACCCCCAAATTTTATAGATTTTCCATTTTGCTCCTTGTCCCATTTGTTCACTTGTCCATTTTCCAGTTATGTCCGATTGTCCTATTTTTTGTCTAATTGTCCCCCTTTCTCCATTTTGCCCCTTTTCCAATTTTGTCTATTTTGTCCCCATTATCCTATTTTGTCTCTATTGTCCCATTTTGTCCCTAGCTCTCTTTGTTCTCCTTTCCCCCCTTTGTCCTACTTGTCTCCCTTTGTCGTTTTGGTCCTTCCGCCCACTGCGATGGTCATCTGAAAACCTTATTGCAAATTGCAAAGAGAATGCAATTCTGCCCGTGGATTCCGAAAATTCTAGGAATGTGATTGATCGACAGGTGGAGTACACAGGTTCCAGTTAGTAATCCATGCGGTGCGTAATCGATGTCATTCGTCGATTAAATATACAGCAGGAATACGTATATTATTAAATGGCCTAAGAGAAAATCAATTATTGTCTTCGAGAATTCAATCAGCAGAGCGAAATATCCAAGTTCAGGCAAGGGATCTATTTAAATTGATGAGATTTGAGAAATGATTCATATAAGAAACGAAATACTGGCGTGTAGAAAGGAATGTGCTAATTAAAATTATCAGTTTTGAAAATAACAATTGTATATCATATCATATCGTATCAATATTGTTTATCACATAGAAAATAATTGTGACAAACCTCAGATCATATTGCAAATGTATCTTGTTTTATTCTTTATACCGTGAATTTATCTTATCGATTTAACCAAAATGCTTCATCAACATTTCTAAATATTTTGAATTTTTGTTTTTCAAGGTTTTTAGAACAATCACTTTCAGAGGACGTGATCAGGCCGCAAGATGCAGCTAGTGTTTTCTCGGCTGTGTATACCAACCCAGAGGGAGTTGACGTTGCACTAGATTTTCTTGTCGAAAATTTTGACCGCATTGAAAAAGCGTAAGTAAATGAATGTTTAATTCCTTGAAAATACTCATTAATTGTTTCATATAGAGTTACGTAACATATTCTTTTCTCCCATTACTTTACACAAATGTAAACATGATGCAAAATTATTTGTAAGATAAAATATTTAAAAGAGACCCGTTAGCAGTTCAATAGTGTGACAAAAATTGGAATTTTTTGCATGACTTTGTGTTTACACTTCCTTGATTGAGTCAGCAACGGAGCAAATCAAATCAAATTAATACATTGTCTGATGAAATTTGAAAAAAAGCCATTAATGTACTTTACAGACGTGTCAGAGAGACTTAGCCAAGGAAGGGTTCGTGTATATAAAAATTGTCCTTCTGTGGAATGTTTGCAAATAACTGTTCATAAAAAGTAATTAATAATGAACAATATATGAATATATGTTAAATGATAACTCGCAGGAAAAAAATATATTACTATTATTTGGGATTTGGAAAGTTAATCTGCCATGAAGAGTGTCCTCATCGTCAAAAGCATCAGAGAATGTGACTTTTCTTGACTAGATTTTGACATTTCTCTGACTATCGTCAACAATCAATAATATTTAGGGATGTATAATAACGTTCTTGATGTGCCTGGTTGCCATTGTATGTGAAATTTGTTTCAAGTACAAAAGTAAATGAAAAGGCTGAACTTTGATTTGTGAATACTATTGTGCTTCAGGTATGTAGCATTAAATGCCGTAAGGAATGTTGTCACTGGTATTGCAAACTACCTCACTAAAGCGGAGCAGAAGACTAAAGTAAGTTTCAATAAATATATGTTATTGAATGCTTACCTAATTAAGTCATATTAAAGTTGAAATTATACCTCGAAATTTTCAAAATGCTTCTTTCATAATGCAATGGGAACTTATCTTTTTCAGATGCAAACACTGATTGTCAACAACCCAGATTCATTGAATACACCTGGGAAGATAGCGCTGGCTACTATAGACACAAATCTTGACTGGTTGAACAAATATAAGGATGAGGTTCTTGATGCGATAGAAAATCAATTATCGAAAGAGACACGCGGGGTTGCTTTGTGGTAAATAATTCGTTCTAAAACAATGTTTTATTGCCAGAGTAAAAAGAGTAGGCATCGTAGCACAACCAAATAATTGTTTCGGAATTACGTAAAACTATATTGTCTATCAACTGTTCAAGTTTGTAAAAAGAGATAAATTACAGCTGTTAATAAAGTGAGCACTCACTTTCATAACATGAAATTATATTTAATAAATAGTGTCTTAGTAAACTGTATTTCATTTTTAAATTTAAAAGCTGATAGTGCAAAAGTCCTGTACGTTTTTTGTTATTTATTACTGGGAAGTATCATCTAATAGTGTCATTATTACTACGTAACAATAAGCTGAGAGAATTCTAAAACTAAGCGAGACAAAAGGTATTTAATAGCTATGAAAATAATATTTATCCTAAATGCTCAGTTATTTTAATTGCAGTTATGTACATAATTATATTTTGTAGTAAGTACAGATTTCATACTATTATGTAATTGCGGTTCAGATAGTTGTGCTAAAATAAAATGTAAAAGACTGTGATTTCAATAATTTGATGCCTTTCTTTACAGAGTTTCTTGGTATAATAAAACATAACGTTCTAGTACAATTCTCCCAAGAATGAAGTAAAGATTTTTACTTTTTCACCATACTACATTTTTACATAGTAAAGAGGAGGTAGTATTATAACTTCTGTCAAAAATCGACAATTTTTTGACCGAGATATACCAATTATGCAGACCTGATATCGAAAATATCACGTACATTTTGTTTCAATTTATAGTAAATTACTTCTCCTAACACGTTGTATACTCAACATTTTTGTTTGTGGGCCATTTGAAACCAAAAAATTGCTTGATGGAAAAACGTCTGCCCGTCCGTCTGTCTGTGATCAACAGTAAAGCGTGAACCGTTCAAATGAGTTTCTCTAAAATTGATATTCCAGATCGATTTGGCCGACCTCAAGTAGCTGAGAGTTAGAAACGGACATTTTAATTTTGAGGGCTACATTATACTTTATTATTTATAACATTTATAGAATTTCTCCTGTGTATCATAACATTTAGTGAATAATATTTTATTCACTGTATCGATGTGTCATTCCGAGAAACTAAAGAAGAAGAAGAAGAAGAAGAAGAAGAAGAAGAAGAGGGGGGGATTATAAGTTTGAAATTAAATAAATGTATGCACGTGCTAATTGACCACAATTAATTTAAATTAAATGCGTTATTTTTCACACACATTAAAAATAAGAGTTCTTCTGCCAAAAATCCGCCGTTTTCCGCGCAGTATTATACATTTTTCTCTTCTCACAAAACACTTGAAGGTTAGCGAATAGGTTGAAGCATAGCGATGCGCAATCTAACACGCAGTAAACAATCGTGGCATGGCGCGCACTGCCTGAGAGTGCACGAGACGCCGCAGAGAGCGCTCGACGGGCCCCTCTTGAATTTCAAAGCGACACATCGATATTGTTGCTCAATGTATTGAATATTGAAAGTCATTAAATGAAAAATGTATATTCCTCGTATGGTAGGATTTGTTCATTATTGGGAGGATCTGCGTGCCACCTACGCACGAGCCGTCTTTGGAATTCACAGGTTCAGCTACGAAGAGTGCGGGACAATACTATTTTAAACATTGCCGCAGTATATTGCTCTCCTACAGACAATATGGCAGCGTTTCAAAAACTACTACAAATAACTAGATGTTCGGGTTTACTTTCAGGATGTTCATAATTGGAGGAGATTTTAGGGCGTATCGCGGCAAGGGATCATAGATATAAGAAGCTCTATGGGCAATGACTCGTTAACGAATTCGTTCGTGACTACGGATTAACTCCAGAACTTGATGTTTCTGAAAGGCCGCGATACTGAAAGTATTTTTAGTTCGCCTGGAAAAGATGTTAATAGCTCACAAAACAACACCAGGTACAAACACGTGACCACGAGGGTGTGTTACTGCAGGTGAGGAGGCAGTGAACTAGGTTCTAGAAAAACACAAGAAAACTATTGTTTTAATACATTCGGATAAGCACAACAAGTTTTCAGAAATATTGAATAGGAAATTACAAATTACACTGCTTGGAAATTGCATGATAGATAGTGAAGGGAGTATGGAACTCCCGAACGAATAATGTTTGCAGACAAAGATTTATTGGTTCCAGCTAAGATGACTGAAGAAAATTGCGATCCATTGTATTAGACGAAACTTATTAGCAAAATAGAAGAGAAACGTCAAAAAAGTGTACACTTAACACATTAGTTTTCACAATCTGACCCGCTTCAATTATAACCGTGACAAATTAATACAGCAAAAGCGTACAATGCAAGAAAATTATCTCTGTAAAATTATACCAAATAAGAGGACTAGTTGGAGAAATTTTCATAGACACATAGAACAAACTAGTGTGCAACAAAACTGCACAGACTTTCCTGCATTATTTTTCTATTTCTTTTACTCTCATCTAGCTAATTGAACTTGCCACATACTATTGCCTGCTGCCATCTATCGCCGCCCGCAGAACATCTTGCAATTTTCTTAATTTTTCGGTTTCCTAAGAGTAAAACGGAAATATTATTTTAATAACATATTTTATTATAGTTGATAACATTTTATTCAAAGCATCATTTTATGCTACACATTAAATGGTGAAAGTAGGAACTCCCATTCAATCGGTGAAAAACTTTTACAGCTAGCCGCTATTCTAATTAGTATAATAAATTGTCCTAGAAGAATTGAGGGAAAACCTGTGACTGAAATGAAATTACCAGTGTCAATTATCACAATGAAGGGAGAATTGAAGTCATGTCCTCAAATATTGAAGACATTCTGGTGCAACTAAAGAGCATTTACTTTGTCCTCCAAAAGACGAAAACAGTTTTTTGAAATCTCTTTGTCGCGCATTTTGCTAGATCTGGGATCTGGCAACACATTTCGATTACACGTTATGCCAATTTTCACATGTTCTGCATTTCTAGAGCAAGCCCTTAAGAGCAATTCTACTGTTCCGTGAAGATCTTCTATCGAAATTAAAATGTTTCTAACTCATAATGTGGAATTGTATCAGTGATTGAAACAGTGTGTCTAACGATATTTTAAGAAACATTGATGTATGAGGAAGAAAAGTAATTATAAAGAAAATAACTAACAGAAGTTTCATTGAAATGTTGCAGATGAAAAGAGAGTGTAGTAGATAATATTCTGCAACTTCTTCATTTCTTGATCAATGTATTTCAATAATTAAAACAGAAGAAAACTGTTATATAGTAGTCGAATGGAAAATTATGCCGATTTCTTATGGCAGTATATTTCCGATGAGGAATAAAAACCAACGAAATTAAATTCAAACGCTGACAGTTGTTCTTGTCTACCACTGCCAATGATCACTGAATCAACACACAAAGTGGTATAAAATGAACGCTAACTGGAAGAAGGAGATGAGTTTGTCCATTTTACTCTGAATCAAATTAGGCAGTTTCCTATCCGCGCAAAGGACATATCTCGAGAAACCTATGACTACTACTCGAACACTGAGTTCTCATTCCACGGATTCTGTCTCAATCTATCCTAAATGATTAACATGCAGCCCACATAGAAATTGTGAATACTTAGGGAATAGCTCGTTCGTTTGTCTTCTGGCTTCAGTATATATGTTTAGCCGGAGATCGATAAAGAAATTGAAAACGTTGCTAAATCTTGAATCGAGTGCTTTAAACATTCCCACTCAAAATTCCGAGATCATCATTGGGAATATCCAAAGGACCCATGGGAACGTATGCACATCGATTAAGCAGGTCCGGTGTCGGGTATGAAGTTCTTAATCATCGTCGACGCGTACAGCAAATGCTGTGAAAGAAAAGTAACGGCATCGCTGACAGCTTCAGCGACAATAAAAATTATCCACGAGTGGTTTGCGACATATGGAGCACCAATCACAATCGTCTCAGATAACGCACCACACTTCGTATCACAGGAGTTTCAGGATTTTCTACAGATGAATGGAGAGAAGGGCCATAAACGTACTGCCTCCTACTATCCGTCAACAAATGGTCAAGCAGAACTTAAGGTACAAATCACAATGCTCTGAAGACTATGGCAACTACAAGCAATACTCTTCAGCAAAATCTCCACAAATTCCTACAATAATAGCGGAAAGACTCCTAATATAACAACAGGACAATCTCCGTCTGTACTGTTCTTAGGTCGCAATATACGGATATATACGGTTAGATCTTGTCAGACCTGATTACACGCATACAAGATTGACAGAGAAACAGCATTATTCGTCGAATCCATCATTCCGCGAGTTTCAATCGAAACAATTCGTTTACTTTTTGTCTGGAAACTCGAGCGTGGACAAATGTATACCTGTGTACGTGGTGACACGACTCGGCGATTTATGAGATCGACTTTCAGGGCAAACGTATCAAACATAGACCTAATGCGATTGCGACAAGATGCTACAAATGACAATCCTGATAGACTGAAACTGACAGATAATGACACTCAATCAAGACTACGAAAAGTTCATTTATACAACCCAGAATTTACCGTAGAAGTACCCGATTAGTGGCATGAGAAGATGACTAGTACCTACATACGATATGCTCTTTTTATGACAACAGTAGCAAATGGCATCTAGAAATTTACATTTGGCCCGACCCACTGCGTTGGCTGTTGTTTTCTCGAGGATTGTTGGTTGTACCGTGATATTTAGCACCTTGCTTTTGCGCAGGACCACGAGATGATGATCGATTTCGTTGCTATGGCTTTTTTTGATTCTTGAACTTCAGTGGTGTCTATCCCAACTTTCTTCTCTCTGATAAGACTAATGTGTTTGCAGTCCTCAGGTTATTCGACGTACATCGCGTAGCCTAGCTACAGAGAATGTGCAATTCCCTATGCTGTTTTGAAAGCATCCTTTTTATATTATCTAACCACACATGTTGTGACATCCCAAACCCATTAATAATTGCCCAATTATCATTCTATCCATGAACTCACCGTATTCGCACTTTGCAGCT